CTCTCAACTGAGATTTCCTCACCCACTGAGTTGAACCAGTTAGTTCATTGGGGTTACACAATGGCCAGTTTATTTGCTTGGAATACTTTCAGGATTTTTTTTTATAGCAGAAGAAAGCATTGGAGTTACTGAATACACCTACTCAGAAAATCATCTAGACAGCCTTTGGTTTCAGCAGAGATTGCTTCCTGGTCTGTGTATAGCTGACCCTGTTGTTCTCAAGGACCTGCCTTTGTATTAAAATGATTTACACTAGTTGTGGTTCTGGTCGATTTATTTTAATAGAGTTGTAATTATTTGAACCTAGTGAAGTCATTGTTTCCATGCTGTTGATGGAAATACAAGAGAATACCTGTTAGAACTTCTGCCAAGCTAGAAGGAAGGTGAAGGCTGGGTGGTCTGGTTGTTATGCTGAGACAGGATATTCCATCATCAATGGACCCAGTGGAATCTGGAGGACACAGAGGTACTTTCTGAACCACTCCTTTCCCACCTAAAATTACTAGAAATGTTGTGGGGTGTGTGTTTGTGTGTGTGTTACTAAGTTCTTTTATTTGGACCCTTGGGGCCCCATGTTTCCCACCCCTGCAATAAACTCTGAACTGCATAATTCAGGAGAACTGAATGATAGCAGCAAATTGTGCCCCCCCCCATACCACTACAAGGTACACATAGTATCCCGAACTGGCTAAGTTATTTTGGTACTTTTGTTCAGATGCAATGAATGAGAAGATACAGAAAAAAGGAATTCATAGAATCATAGAATAGTGAAGTTGGAAGGGGTCTATAGGACCATCAAGTCCAACACCCCCCTCCCCCCTGGCTTGATGCAGGAATACAAACCAAAGGATATCTGCCAGGCGGTTGTCTCAGTTTCTCTTGAATGCCTCCAGTGCTGGAGCACTCACCGCCTCTCGAGGTAATTGGTTCCACTGTTGTACTTAAGAATGGACAGATTTGTGATTATCTCAGCAGAAGCTTTTAACACCTCCATAATGAAGCAGTTCTTGAAAACTGTAGCAAGTAATGGGAAGGCATTACTTTTAAAAAATAACTTCCTATATTCTGTCTGCAACAGAAAGCGCACAAGTACCTTTTTTCCTTCTTGGCAGTGAAAAATCAGTAACATCAAATTAAACAGGTAACAATCCGATGACCTTTCTTGATGTTCATAATCTTCTGCTTGAGAGAGCTGCCTTATCTTACCTAATGTCAGGGCTGGGCTACTATAAAGACATCCATATATAAACAGAGGAGTAGAGCAGGCAAAATGCAGCAGGCCAGAAGTACTTTTCGCTTCAGAGCATCGCTGCATTCTAAAGCTGGCATTCTGGGAATGAGCTTCATCTACATGCTCATCTAAGCTGACATGAACAGTGATAGCACAAATCTTTTGAAAGTAGGTTAACAGTGCTGTGATAAAAGTGGATTGAGTTGCAAAGGGAGCACAATGAAGTATGGCCACCTTATGATGTGCCAACCTCTGCATGGATGCATTCAACCCACATACCCAATATATCTAAGTGTTAGTTAAGCATAGCAAGACTCTAAAAAGTGAGTTGTATCATGTGCTGTCTACAATACTGCAAACCTCTCAGAAGTAGGTCAGGATGATGCAACAAATCTGGATTGAGGTGTGTGAAATTTGCTGGTGACATCAAGTTATTTAAAGCTCCAAAAAGATCTGTCCAAACTGGGGGAACTAGAAAATGGCAAATAAGATTCAGATTGAATTTAAGAAAGTGTAATTTGATGTAGTCCAGAATAAACTTTTACAGTTTCAGGAGCAGGAAATGAAATGGTGTGGCAGGGAGGGGAGGCAATTACAACAGTAATTAGTTTGGAAATTAAAAATTCCAAAAAACCTCTGAATTCACCTCATACCAGCAAACTCACCAGGGACATCTTCCATGAATTTTTAAGACTCTAACCTGCAATTTTTCTGCACTATCTATGAAGGGGTAGTGACCAGCCTGAAGAAGTGAATTTACTCACAAAAGCTTGCAATATGTATGATTTGTAAGTAGTTCAATAAAGGTATCACCTTTCTCTTGCATTGATGTAATGTGTACACCTTCACACCCAGAGTGATGAACTGATAGTAATTAATCAGACAAAAGATCGTTATGAATTTGCAGACCAGAATCCTGTTAGTGATTTATACACGTCTAGTTAAACTGCCCAACTTGAGGCAGTTAATTGCCATTAACTAATAGTATCAGTTTTCATTAGTAGCACATGCCTGTTGTGCAATGAGTCACACACCTTGTAATGTGACCACTGCCTTGTTATTTAGTGGCATTTCATCACAGAGTTATCCAATTTAACTTACTTCAATTAAAATTATCAACAGGATTCCAGCCAATATTTAAGAATATTTAATGCAATACCACTATGCAATGCAGAAGACATTTGTTCTTGTGATCTTCTCTGATTTCTGAGGCTAAGCAGGGCCAGGCTTGGATAATATTTGAATAGGAGGTATCATGATCAAGGTTTATAAAGGATGTGCAATATAGAGAAACACACACGCATGCATCTTCTTCTTCCCAAGCATTAGAACTCAGAGTTAGTTGATGGAATTAACTGGCACTGGATTCAGGATAGACAGAAAAGCACTTAATCACAAATAAGATACAATTTCAGGAATTATTTGCTGTCACAAGATGAGATGAACACCTTTGGACAAATTCTTGGCGGGGGATGGAAACAGGAGAGTTCTAACACATCTTTAGAAGCAATGTGTTGGTGAATACTATCTTATTTATTTAAATGGCCTTTCTATTCTTGGCCTGTCTATTATAAACTCAGTCTTAAAGCCACTGACAAATAACAACATGAAAAGCGCAAGAAATATGTAGATAAAAGTCTAACTGTAACACAAAGCGTCATATTGACAGCAGCAAACTGAAAAATATATCAAAAGCACAATTTTCTGGCTTAACATTTTTTTGCAAAGCCTTCCAGAAAAGAATAATTTTAAGAGTTTAAAATCAAGAAGGAGCCTGTTGACTTTTCTTGGTGGCTACAACTGAAGAACCTTCACTTCTTAGTCCACAGTTCTGTTAATGGATGAGTAATGAGGAGGATATAAAAAACTCAATGTAGATCTTGAAGAGGTTCATATGATGGGATATGATTGCTAAAATATAAGCTCCAGCCCATTTAGGGCTTTAAAAGACAAAGGCTGTGCCTTAATATAATCCCAGAGACAAGTCTGAAGCCAATGAAATTGGCACAAGATTTGCTTTAAAAGGTCCATTCTGCCAGTCCTGGACAGAAATCTAGTCATAATATTCCAAACCAGGGGGAATTTTGGAACTGTATTCAGAGTGCTGCCCTGGCTAGATTCTATTTTAGAAGTCCAGCCTGGAAGTGGCCAAGGTGTGAGTTGCTGAGGAGCAATAGGACAGACTGCTGAACTCGGAAGGCCAGTTTGTGGGCTTCCTCCAAGTGTTGGATTTGTCCACTCCAGTAAGCAGAGCTCTCCTTCCGTTCCTGTATTATTTATACATCTAATAGTTTGACTCTATGAATATTTATTCGCCTGGGCATACACTCTTCAGAATTAATGCACAGGCATATGTGTGTAGGATTGCAATCTTGGTATCAAAGCTAGTGGAGTACTCTGTTTCCCCAACAGTTCTAGATCAGACTGGGCACACCTTCAGACAGTTGAGATACATCAATAAGGAGAAGGTCCACCAACTTGCGCCAGCTTTTGATGAGGTTTCTATCCTAATTTAGGATTCTGGTCTGATAAAATCCTTCTAACCATTTGTATTATCTGCCTTCAAAACATATTAAATGTATTTATTCTGATAATTTCCTGGTGGCAGTTCCTTGGGAGTCGAAGGAACCAATGTTCCCTAAAGGAGAGGCACACTCATGATTTACTGGCCTTTCCAATGGGGTGGGGAGAATGTAGATCTATGGATCATTTTGTGGACGATGCAAAGTAAATCGATAAGGATTTCTTTGTCAGAGTGGTTTAACAATAGGAAAAGAATGCTTCTCCACTTCTAGATTATGCTGCTGAGATGAAGACAGAGGAGAAGGGGGTGGGTTTTTTTGTGGAGGGACCCTGAGCTCTATTCACTTCAAGGACTTAAAAAGAAATTCTTGAACTCAGAATTCTTGAATACTACAGGTATTGCACAGACTCCATTTGGTGGGTGTCAGGATTCAGTGGAAAAGCCAAGCGCATTCTGCAAGCCTTAAGTTTACCCACCCCCGCTGCGCAACACAAAACCAAGAAACCTGAAGTCATTCTACAGTAGAAGACCCTCTAAGAAAGCAGCCTTCCCCAATCTTGCGCCTTCCCAAGGCGCTGGACTACAAACCCCACCATCCCCAACCAACATAGCCATGGTCGTTGAGGATGATAGGGCTTGCAGTCCCCATGCATTGGGAGGGCGCTGGGTTGGGGAAGATGAAAATAAAGCCATGTGGAGGCGGCGGGAAGGGTGGGGGGGGTGCCGCTCCTCTTCATCTCCCCGGGAGGAGGGGGGGGCAATCAAAGCCTCGCGTTTCCTTTCTGGATCTCTTAAAATTGCATTTCAGTAATTGTAGGTTTCCCCTAAAGACATTTGGTGTCACTGTAAGGACACCATTTCTCTTCCTCTCTCTCTCTCTCAACCCCCCCCCCCTTTTCTCTTTCCCTCTCGTTCTCTCTCCTCCTGTCTCTCCGGTTATTCTGTTGCTTTCCTGGTGCATCCCCTTCGCCAGCCTCTCCTGAGACGACGCGGGAGAAAGCGAGAAAGCCGCGGCGCATCCCCAGCCCTTTCCCGGAGAGCATCCCTACCAAAGTTCTCCCGTGCTTGGCTTCCAACCCCCCTTCCCTCCTTTCCCCGCGTCTGCTGCTCACCTGGCGCTTCTCTCCAGGAAGCCGGCTGGCCGCCTTTCCCTCTCGTCGATGCCCTCCACCTCTCCCAGCTAAAGCCGCCGCCGCCACCACTCCCTCTCGTCGATGCCCTCCACCTCTCCCCGCTAAAACCGCCGCCACCACCACCACCATCATCATCATCATCATCTTCGCCCCCGCCGCCACAGCCCCGCCGGACTGAGCGGGAGAGGGACCGAGACAGAGAGAGCGGGCGAGCTCGGGCGCGCGTTTTGGCGGAGGCTCCCGATCCTGGCCAGCCGGGGTGGGCTCCGTACCATGCCTTTTCCCTCCGAGCCTCCTCTTGCCTCCGCGCCCGCGATGCCCACAGCGAGGGATCGACCCCAACCGCCTCCTGCTTGCCTGCCTGTCCTTCACTGCCTGGCGCTCAGTTGATCTTCAGCGCCGTCTTGAAGCTGGAAGCCCGACGAGGACGGGTCCGGAGGTACCTTCTTTTGCTCGGCATTTTTCAGACCACCCTTTTCTTTAAACAACTTCTCCGATCCGGACCTCATCCGCCCTCCGACACCCCTTGAATATTTCTCTTCCATGCAAAGGTAGGTGGGCAACGAGCACACCTGGCTAGCCAAATATACGGCGTTGTTTTCGTTCTTTCATTTTTAGCAGGAAACTTGGGACTCCCTCGCCCCCTTCAACGTTTCACTTTAGCACCTGTTTCCTCCTTAGCTGATGGGGATGAGGTGGGGAATCGCTTAAACTAAACTTGCCTGTAATATGGGCCGTTTTTCTTTTAAAGGAAATAAAGTTACCTCTCCCTGTGCCGGGCTCTCCTTACATTTGTTTACCCAGCGAGTAAGTAATATTACGTGTGGGGTGGGAGGGAAGAGGACAGAACGGGTAATTAGCCATATATCAACAAGACCATTGTAGGAAAAGCTCTGTGGGTCTAATATAGCCCCTCATATGTGTGTATTTGTATGACGGTAAATATGGTATAACAGCTATGAATAATCCAAAGACGCATGATATCTGTCATGGGTGATTTTCTGTTCTGTGCAGGTGGAAAGTGGGGGGTGGGGGTGTTATGAAATGAGAAGCTCTCCTTATAACTTTTGGTTAAAGCTTCCCCCCCCTCTCTTTTTAAACATTTGACAGAGATGTTTGTCTGCTGTTCTTTCATCTTAATTTAAGTCTGTGCTTAAAGCTTTGAATCCTTAACAAACTGAAATAAAAATATACAAGCACACCAGTTGTTCTTTGTAACTGGCTGTACAGCAGAGAGGGTCGGAGTTGGACTGCACTTTTATAATGTAAGAAATGGGGAATTATTCTCATTATTCCAAGCATGTAGAAGAAGATCTGCTTCCAAGGGGGAAAGCTTCTGAAGTTTGGGGCAAGGGGGAAGGGGGGGGAATAGAACATCATGTCCACTAGCAAGCACTTAGTGATGATTCTCTCCCTCCCCCTCTTGTTTTCTTCCCCATTTTATTATTTTGTAGCACTTGGGTGAATTCAATAGGTTTCATGGTAGTAACAGACAGGTGAGAAGCAGATGGAGCTTTTGGGGGGCGGCGGAAGATTTCAATAAGAATCATTACCTAGAAAATGAAAACAACAAGAGAAGCCCAAATTACATTTTTTTCCCTCCCAGGCAAAACAAGATTGATGAGAAGGGATCTGTCTGATTCTGTTCAGAGCTTCAGTTCCACTTCTACCATTTTAGAGCAATACTGTAGTTGTTAAGTCCCTCTGTGTTACAGGAAGCTTGCTGATATCTTAAGAATATGGAATGAGAATGGATGGTTTGCTTTCTTACTAGCAGTTGTTTATTTTCCCCTGCCTCTTCCTTCCTTTCCTCCCACCTTTCTCATCTTCTTAGCTGGAATTTTTTTTGGGGGGGGTATGATGTTCTTGTAAAAGCAACTTTTACAGTTGTGAGTAAAAGGGATGGTAGGATTCTAACCCTGTAGATCCTTTCTGGAGAGTGTGGGAGCCCTTTTGGGTCTCTGGTTGAGGTGAACAAGCTGAAGAGAATGGTGCATTTGGAGTGACAACATTTCATGGTTATCAGTGGCATATAATTGTTTATTAGCTTCATATGAAGCACAAAAAGTTAAGCCTGCTCTCTCAGTCTAGACATGTCTTCTGGAAGGTCATCCTCTTCCGCAGGGAGGGTGTAGGTGCCCCCTCGTGCTAGGGACACATGTACACACATCCTTGTGCACCTGACTAGCTTGGGAAGAAATGTCACATTACCCTGCTTTAGAAAGGGGGCAGTAGTTATCCAGCTACCGCTGGCATTGTGTATGTGTAAGTGTGTGTGTGCTGATGTTGTTGGAAAGAACAGGGAAGGGAGGTTTCTGAGACATCTCTCTAGAAACCATGTGCCTGGGTACTTGAAATCTCAAAACACGGGCATGTCACAGAGAAATACAGGTACATGTCTTGTCAGGATTGATGGTGTCACCCCTTGTGTGCAAGAGTGGGAGAGGATACTGATGGCTTCAGCCTGAAGACAGGCTGGGGCTCAGGTAGCAAAGATGTGTCTGGCAATGCTTAGAGACATTCTCCAGCCCTTTTCTACGTGCTGGTTCCCAGGCTCTTATATTAAAGTGGCAACTCTGCTGTGGCAAAGGTGGTTCCGTGTACTAGAGACATATTAAAACCCATAGGAGTTATTGTGTATCTTCATACTGTGCTCTCTGGGCAGATGGGAACTAGAACAAGGCCCTGTGTCTGATTTCCTTTTACTCAACCTAGCCCACGCACCAAAAGAAAGGACTGGTATGTGCAAAAGATCAATACAACTCTGGACCTTGCTGCCCTGCACTCCTTATATGTTCCATCGCAGATATACACTCCATCTTTCTTCCAAGGAATTCACGTAAATCTGATCTATTTTATAAGTGGAAGAGTTTCGGAGAGTGGCTGTGCCAGGCATACTGCATCAGCTTTGTTGCTGAAGGGGGTTTTGAACTCCGTCCCTCTCATTCTCGGTCCAGGTTCAGTAGCGTTCCAAACTGGCTGTCATTGCATTACAAATGATTTAGATTACTCATCACTACTGCATTATTTCCATTTACTTCATTCCTTAAGAGGTTTCTCATGCCCTGTCTTCTTGGCTTCAGGGGGTTTAAGAATGATTTGTAGCCACAAGTGTACCAGGAATATTAAAAAGGTAAGGCTACATGTGTAACAAATGCTCAAGTCCTCATTTTCAATGTCCAGTGAAATAATCAGGTCTAGCGATACCTGTCCAGTTGTGCCAATCTAGGCACAGGGTGTCTGGGAGGTAAGACATCTTTTGTACTACATAGAAGGGTAAATATGTGTGCAGAAATGTTGAGCAGTGGTTCCAAATGGGAGATTTCTAGGCATCAGGCGCACTACCTCAGGGCACCTGAAAATACCCAGGGATTTGGACCAGTCTCCTGTGTGGGCTGGCTCCTTTGTCTTTATTTGTTTGTGTGTTTTGTACACTTGTAGTCCACCTTTCTTCCAAGAAAGGGAGGCAAAGCGGACTTCTGTCTGTGTGTGTGTGTATGTGTGCGTGCTCGTGCATGCGTGTGTGTGCGTGCGTGTGTGTGTGTGTGTGTGTGTGAGAGAGAGAGAGAGAGAGAGAGATGCAAATGATATATGGGAGACAATATTATATTTATTAGTGCAGGTGGCATTACTGTCCCGCCGAAGATATGTTACTGTTTCTTCATCTTTCCAGTTTTGGAATCCTTTTGTGAAAAATATATTTTTCCATACTTGTATCTAATGCTTCTTATATCTCAGAAGATGGGAAGCCTCTGTCTGGACACCATTCAAAAACACGTGTGTAACTGAGACCAGAGATGAATGATCAGTAGTTTCAAGATTGCTTGGTACCACTGCACATATTGGGTAAGGCAAAGGAGACCAGGGGGAATTTGGAGATCTGTGGAATTAGAGAGGGCAATAATTCTACGTTTCAGTCTTTTGGTGTGTATATGTGCTGTTGGGCACACTCCTGCAGTTTAGAAGCTCATCTCCCTCTGAATCTGGCCTTCACTTCCATTTGTTCTGATATTCCCTGAGCTGCTTGTTGCTTTCAGCCCCCAGCCTAAGTCTGCATTTTAATCCTAGCTGCTGCAGTGTCTCCCAGCAATCTGGATTAGGAACCACCACACAGCTCTGCCCACTCTTGCCCTGCAGCCCTTGGCCCTCTTAATCATTCTGTGATGAAGAACTAAAGTAAAATAGGTTCATCCTTAAGAAACATACTTTGCAAGCATCAAGGCCAGTATGGAAACATCAAGGCCAGTATGGAAAAGGATGTAGTGTTACTTGTAGATGGGGGGGGGGTTGCGCAGAGAAAAGGAGAGACTGGAATTCTAGTCACTAGGCAGAACAATGCAAATAAGTCATTTATGTATCTGGTTTTATTTGAAATGCAGAAACGTGGGTGGCTTTTATTCCTGTTTACTTCCCACTGCAGAACAGAAACAGCAATTTAAAAAATTGAAGCTGATCCCATTGGACTCATAATTGTGTGAATGCAGCAGAATTCATTAAAATAACCAGCTCCTGATTTGCTGTGAATTGGATCTGTATTAAAGGTGGCCCAGGAATCTAAGGCCTGCCTCTGAATATAAACTCAGGGTCTCGCTGAACCAGTGGGTATGAATCTGCAACCAGTCATGTTTTGGGATCAGATCCAACAGATCTCCCTGCTTTAAGGGTGATAAGTGCAATCAGTTGTGTGTGTGTTTTTTTTTTTTTTAAATATCTAATTTGAAGCCTCATAGCTCAACGTGTAAATTTCTTATATTGAGAAGCATAGAGTTTGCAGGGAAATGAAAGGTCTGAATGTGACTTTTAAGTGCTTATCCTATGTCTGTTTCACATACGCAACTCATCCTTTCACAGTTGAACTGTGCATGTGCATAAGTATAGCTGCCCTCATTTCCCTTGTCAGCAAAGGACTCTCTCTAGTGGTTTATTGTGTCTGTAGGCAAACCTGTGTTGTGATCTTTGGATAGAACTGAATATACCTTCCTCGATGGTGCATGTTTGATATTTGGAATTAACGTAGTTAAAGAAAAAGAAAATGGGCATATTGTGTTCCATCTATTTGAATTGTGTCTGTTTTATTATTTCAGAAGAGTTTTTTTTTTAAAAAAAAGGGGGGGGAGAGGCTTCCCATAGTTGTCATAACATCACATAGCTTGGAAATGGAGGCAGAAAGAAAAGCTTTAAATGATTGTGACAGGTGAGCGCCATGCATGTGCATGTGATAGTACTGTGATAGATAGAATGGAAACAGGTAAATTGGAAGCTAGAAGTCTGGAGGAGCAGAGGAAAGACTTCTTCGCCTCCCTTAGGAACAGATTGTTGAGAGGAAGGTTGATGGGTTTCTGTACCACTTAGAAACATCAGTTGGCCCTCAAGCATCACTTGCTTTCCTAGGCCCTGAGGATGATGACTTCCCAGCTCCTCACTTCTGAATGTCTCACTTCTGAATGACTTGGTGGTGCTGGGAATCAGGACCTGCTTCATAAGCCTTCTGCCTTCAATCTCTTGGTGATACCTGACAGATGCTTTCTTACTTAGCAGCTAGCCAGTGAAG